GACGAAATTAGGAAATTTTTAACATCTTTAGCAGGCCACACTTTAGTAAAAGGAGAAGACGGTGTTTTTATTCCTCATGGAATTACTCCAGTAAATCCAGAAGAAAAAAACTACATACGTGCCAGTATAGATAATTTTGATCAAAATGAAGACACACTAGATGGTAAAGATTCGACTCACAGCTTGGCAATGGTAATATTTCAAAAAAAAAAAGATACATTTTCAGAAGACAAGTTGGATCGCCTTTCCAAGCGGTCATTAACTAATCTAGATACTTTTGATATTCATGAAAGCAAAATTATAAATGTTTATAAAAAACCAGCTAAACGCCCTGAGCCTCCACGAGTAAGTGAAGTAATGGCAAATACCTGTTTTGATAGTGCAGCTCCTAATGTTATAACTTCGGATACTCTATGGAAAATATTAAAATATACTAAAAATAGCAACAATTTTGTAAGCTGGCATGAATTTAACAACATTATTTCCGAAAATAAATTACCTGTATCGAATACTTACTACTTGCCTTTTATAAATGCACCACCTACATCATTCGACACCATTTACACTGGACTTCTAAAATTAGTAAAAATAGCTGCATCGCTTAAGCAAAAGCACATAGTTGTTACGGCTGATATGGCAATCTACAGTAAAGCACAAGAAATACTTTGGAATGAACCTATTGATCTACATGGCAAAGTTACTATGAATATGGGAGGCATGCATTTTACAACCGCATTTATTGCAGCAATTAATAATATATTCGGTGATGGAGGTCTAAGTCATATATTAATTGAATCTGGAGTTTACGCGGAAGCCTCGTGTCGTCAAATGCTTCAGGGCAAACATTATTCCCGAGCTATTAGAGCCATATTATTAGTTTCAGATGCTCTAACTCGATTGTTTTATAGATCACTAATTTCTTGGGCTGAAGAAGAACATCATAAAAATATATTCAATGAAGAAATTTTAAGAAAATTGCATGTCCTGGAAGATACTATAATAAACTACCAAAATTTTGATGCAAATATATTCAATGATGTCTTAGAGTCTACAAAAGATGTTCTAGATGAATTTACACTTGCATTTATAGATGAAAGAAGTAAAAAATCGTCAAATTTTAAATTTTGGATGCAGTTCTTGGAAGCTACAGATATTTTATTGAAGTTTGTAAGGGCCGAACGGAATGCTGACTTTAAATTACATTTGACCGCAATAAAACAGTCATTACCATATCTTAAAGCAGGGGGCCGCAATAACTATGCCAAATTTGCTCCAACTTATTTATTAGACATGGCTCGTTTAAAGGATGATCATCCAGAAATTTATCAATTTCTTGAAGAAGGTAATTTTGTTGTGCGAAGAACTGACAATAAAAAATTTAATTGTGTTGGTTCAGATATGGCACTTGAGCAAACGGTAAATAGAGACTGTAAAAGTTCAGGTGGAGTAATTGGTTTCACAAAAAATGAAGATACCTTGACGAGGTGGCTAATTACAAGACATTTAGTTGGAGAATATGCAAGCAAAGTAGAAAGCCTTATTTTCCATAAGAATAAAATTTACACTTACGGGGCAGCAGAACGCGAACGTGATGAAAAGGATGTTGAGAAAATGGTTTCAATGATTGAAAGTACATGGATAAATCCCTTTGATTGCAGCATAACATCTAATGACCTAATTCATATTGCCACAGGAAAAATTGCTTCCCAGGAGATTAAAGAATCGTTAACAACATTTAAAGAAAAGGCGGAATTAAACAATCGGGCTTTTATCCAAAGACGGCTTACAACTGATGGACAAGAAAGTTTTTGGAAAACTGTAGCACGTAATTCAATTATTTCCTTCAGTGCCAATAATATTAGCTACAAGAAAACAGATACAAAAACTGTAATCAATCCGGAGTATATGTTTAGAAGAATTATTAGTGCTGCTCAGTTTAAAGAAATGGATTTTAAAAATATTTTATCTTACGAATTAACTCCCACCCCTGCTTCGTTATTTTATGAAGACGGCTCAATGAGGAAAACTTCAAAAAGTGAATTGGCAAAGAAATTAGAATCATTTTGTGATTTAATAACTGATCCGCCGCCAGAAATTATTGAATATTTTGTTGATGGTATGGTAGTTTTACAAGAAATTAACCAAAAATCATTTAAAACATTCGAAGAATTGGCTCAGGTTGTAACAAATACAATTTTATTCATATTTAAAAAGCACATTAACTGTCTTAGAATATCTATTATATTTGATAGATATGATTATAAAGATTCAGTTAAAGTCTATGAAAGACATAGAAGAGGTCAGCACAATGCAGGAACTTACACTATTATAGGGTCCAGAACGATATCTAATTATAAGAATTTCCTAAAGTCAACAGCAAATAAAATGGTTTTAATTAAGTTTGTCTCCAATAAACTATGTGAAAAATGTCATTTGGTTCCAGAGGGTAAAGAAATAGTAATCGCTGGAGGTTTTGAAGATGGCGGTAAATGTTTTAAAGTAAGTATATAATTAGTTCCATCCATATTGTTGTAAGTACATATAGATAGTACATAATAGAGAACGTTAAAAATATTTTTTTTAAGATTTCAAACCATGCTGTTTTGGAACAAACACATTTTTACAGCAATCACGAAGAAGCTGATACAAGGATTATTTTTCACATGGCATCCTCCAATAAAAATGGTAGACTGGTTGTAAAGTGTGATGACACCGATATTCTAGTATTATTAATTTATTATTATGCTACTCACGAACATTTTAATACTAAAGAAATATTCATGGAAACTGGTCACACGAATATGGCAACAAATAAAAAAAGATATATTCCTGTTCACACAATTTCGAAAAATATTGGTAAATTAGCATGTGAAGGCTTACCAAGTTTTCACAGCCTTACAGGGTGCGATACGACCAGTTCCTTATTTAAAATAGGAAAAAGGAATGCTTGAGAGGTGTACTATAAAAATTGCGATACACTTAACCTTCACAAATTTTCAGAAATGGCACCAGAAGAAGGAATAAAGTTTGCTAGAAAATTTATTTGTTTTTTATATAAAAATCAAAATTCAAAAGATTTAAACGAAATTCGGTTAAAACTTACAAATGAGAGCAGAAAACAAGCTCAGGAATTGCCCCCTACAGAAGATAGTTTTAAACTACATGTACTTAGGTAAATTTACAAAGCAAAAATTGTACGTATATTTTATTATTATGTGTCATTTTAGGTCATATTATCAAACATTTATATGGATAAATAGTCATATTGGTGAGGTAACCAAAAAAGATCCCTTTCGATATGGATGGATTTTAAATGAGGACAATTTTATGGTTCCAGAAATGATGCATCAAGATCCAGTTCCAGAAGATATACGACAAATTATCTCCTTATTTTGTAATGACAAGAACTGCAACACGCAAAAATGTCAGTGTAAAAAAGAGGGGGTATCTTGTAGCTCAAATTGCAAATGCAAAATGAATTGCATTAATATTAATCGTCACCGAGAGGAAAATACAAATGAATCTGAAGATCCTGTGGATTATACATTTTTCGATAGTTTGTTTTAATTTTGTTTGTTTGTTAAAATTTGTATTTAACAATATATTTATACCTCAATTATTTATTATTTTTGTAAAGTACTAGAATTTTTTGGAAGAAAATGAACAAATTACGATTTATCTTCACTACATAGTGCAAATATAACTAATGAAAAATTGTATTTAAAACATTACTGCGAGAGTGTGTGCAACAAGAGGTATGTCGATCGCAATGAAAAAACCCGCTTTCAATCCGGCCGCCGAGCCAGGCGCCCCCACGTTTAAGCTAGCGCTTTTATTATTAAAAATAGACCCACTATTAATCGACACAAAATGCAGCTGATTAAATTGCACAGTTTTTAAAAAAAAAAATATTAAATAGCTCTTTGCATAAGAAAGTTATGACAAGGTGGATTAAAAAATTATTGTCAATTTGTTGTTTTTTTTTTAAATATTACTATTTTTTAATATAATTTACAACATTTTTATAAAAATAAATACATTAAAAGAAAGAAAATTGAATAAGGAATAAATAAAAAAAAATATTGTTCTAGCTTCTTTAGTAAAAAAGTTACGAGTGTTCAAAGTTAACAAAAAAAAAAACACCTTTTTTTTTTGTTTTTTTCCTATATATTTAGTCTCGACCAATGGAGAGAGTCGTCAATTTCCATTTCCAATGTAAAAAAGCATACATTTTCAAATGGTGAAGGTCCCATTTGGTTATACCTCGGTTTTTTTTTCTGCGTCCTAGACCGGGCTTTCCGACGGACTAATGTTATCAGTTGTAAAGTTGAATTGTAAAAGTTGAGTTAAAATAAATTGAATTACCAAAAAACCTGGGTAACAATATTAAATGTATTTTTATCTTATTACACACCTTTTTTGTCAAAACACTTTGGACTAAGGGCTAAACACTTTACAAATTAACTCAAGATCCTTTACATAATCTTCAAATAAAACTATCGGAACTATCAACCGTTGAAAACTTAAAATCAAAGTATACACAAGACAGTTTTTTGTGTTAAAATTAACAAATTTGCATAGATTGAGATATAACGAGTTAAATACCAATGTAAACAAACTTTCTGTATCAATCCATGAATCATCGGCCTTTAAAAGTGATTAAAAGCTTCGCCTCCACACCACAGTACGTCATGGTTACGTGCGCAGTATCATTCCTTCTTTTTATAGTATCGTAGTAGTAGTAGTAGTCATAGTCCGTAGGAATACAAAATAGCTGTTAAGCTGTTACATATTCTTGTACCACGCTTTGTTCATTCAGAATCCGTAGATATACACTAAAAAGGTTCCGTAAAAAGCTACAAGACAGTGTTTCAAAAAATAATAGATTAAAAAATGATAACTATACCAGATACAAGATACAATCAATCATACAGAAACTCGTTAATAGGTAAAAATGTTTTTCCCAATATTGGCATTAATCTAACATTTTTTATTTGTAGAATATGATCGATATGCGACAAGCGTTAACTGAAGAAGTAGCAACAAAACACGATATCATATTGAAATTGAAACGTGACTGCCATGAATTGGAGGAAAGATGCATCCAAGCCGATAAACAAACTGCTTTTAGGGACGACATCATCAAAGGACTGAGGAAAGAAATTAAACAGCTCAAGCAACAGGTAAAAACTTTTTATTGTCTCTTCTCCAAAAATCCCTGCATATTTTGTCCTAGGTGTCCTTTCCCGAAAAACCCTACCCCAAAGATTCCGATATTTTAAGAAAAGAGGTTAAAGGCGAACATATACTAGTCATAAATCATACTAGAAAAATAATCAAAAACGGAAATACAACCGTTATATATTTACGTCATAATTCAGAAACGGAAAAAGAACCCAAAAATAACGATTTTAATGACGATAATGAATTAAAAAAAGAAATGGTAACCAGCGAGCACATGTCTAATTGTACAAAATGTAGGTTAAAATTACATAATAAAGTTGACAAAATAACTGAGACATTGAATCAAAAGATATGTACCCTAAACGAAAAAGAAAATCCCGTTGACAAAATTAAAACTAAAAACGAAACCGAAGATACATTTCCCGTTTGTAAATCAGAAAATAACTTGACATATTTAAATTCTATAAAACACAGATCAAATTTGACCATGCCCAGTGTTGCTCTAACCAGACGCCACACTTTTGATATTGCTTCAAACCAAAAATCGAAAAATTCATTATCCGAAGAGACCAAATTGATTTCTGTACCCGAACATGTGCCTGTTAAAATGTTGATAAGCAATCTGGAAGTTAATAAAACCCAAAAAAATTAAGCGTTGTTTTTTGATTAGATTGTTTGAAAAATTATAGTGGTAACAAGACAATAGATCAGGGATATTTTCAGGAGAATCTAAGTTTGAGGGAAGAAGGTACGACATTGATTAAGAAAGTAATCGATTTGGTAAGATATTATTTTAAAACGTTTTCACTTTATTATCAGATTCTGAAATTGACATCCATTTAATGAATATTTAAAGTAAAATTTTATGTCGACGAGATGTGACTCATGAGTTAACTTAATTATATAGCTTTGAACAGTGCCCGCATAACAGGTGATCTAGTTATTTTAACCCTCCTGGAACCAGTGTCCGATGTAAAAGACAAAAAGCAGGCCGAAGAGTGCCGAGTTTGGGTGGTCTTTTTAATGTAATATATACCTATAGAGACATTATTCGGTTTTTGTCTCCTAAGCGGTCCACTAGGAGCTATTAATGTATATATTTTAAATAATAATTAGTTTGAAAAAAAAAATATTAAAAGAACAATAATATACAGTTCATTTATTAAACTAACACTAGTAAAACAAGAAATTGAAGGTAAACGATTTTTTTAAGTCATTCATTTTCCCTTTATCCTAGTGGTGGCATGAATTTGGGCACGTGAGATACGGGTATTGTTTAAAAGTTTTACAAACTTCTAAATACGGTTTTTCGTTACCTACAATTAATGCAATAACAAATTCATTGACCAATTTCAAATAAAAATGTTGGGCCCTCAAAAAGTTAGACAAATGATGTGGCTTCCACACAGCAACTTATAGAAATTAAATATATGAATTAGGCATTCCAACGACCTGTCCAAATGGGTACTAGTGGATAGTGACAGTTTAGATATGGCAACCCTGTTGTCATGTTGTCATTAACAGGGTCAATGATACATATATGGTTATATAGATTGCTCAAAGCTGGTCGTTTGCGAGCGGCCATATTGCTTTGTAAATATTTATTAATTTGAATCGGTTTAGAAAAAAATGTGTTTTAAAACCAATTTTTAGCCTTTGGAGATTTAAAAATATTTTTGCTTACATTTTTACTTCAATGTATAAGCTTATGCTTATTTTTAAAACCGTGGATGATCAATCTATATAACTGTCTATAGCATTGACCCTATCAAACTACCAGGCTCACAGTGTTGCCATCACATACTTTGATTACTATACGAGGCAAGAGAGAGGTCCGACACGCCCAACATAGAGCGCGGCCATTTTGAACCCTGTGACACAGTTTACAGCTAAAGAATCAGATCGCTTACTCTGCGTCGGCACTTTTGATCTCAATGTTTCAGTTTATACCCTGTGCAACTCGGATAATACAATATATGACAACCGCCCATAATAAAACAGCAGTCTTCTGCGTATCGTGAATTTGTATCCCTGGAGTGGATGTTATTTTGGAACTTTCAACTGGTCCGAGTGAGCTAACTGATTCTTTAGCAATAAACTGTGACTTCAAAAATAATATTCACTGACACTGACAGCAGCAAGCAAAATATCAGGTGCGTTTTAATCATCCGCTTCTGCTTCCGGAATTGTCGGTTTAGTCGTTTTAACCTGTCAGATTAAAACAAGAAAACCGACAATTCCGAAGCAGAAGCGGATGATTAAAACGCACCTATTAAAAATATTGCGCCAAGATGTAGGCAACACGTAATAAGGGTTCAAAGTGGCGGAGTTTTCTATCTCCTTTTAAAAGGCTCTCAGAAAGCTGCGCAGTGCGACCATTCTCCGTATAGTAAAAGAAAATCAAAGTATGTGCTTGCCATGTCATGTGTCTGTCAGTGGCCTGTCATTTCAAACGGTCAGCCATTTTGTTTGGAATGTTTATACACTGAAGTGTTAGGTTGATTATTTCCCTCGCCTGTCAGATTTGAAATTTTAACCAATCACATCGCAATTTACGTTATCGTTAGAACCAATCAGAAACAAATAAATCGACTATTTTTACTGACTATTTGAAATCGACTATCCATGGTGCTCGATATTCACCTATGTTGACAGCAACTCGCATACTTGATTGTAGGAGTAATATTAAAAGTGGTTACTGTGAAATAATATTAAGTGTCAGACTAAAAATTAATATATTAGTGAAACGTTTAAAATGAACCGATTTAGGTGTGTTAATAGCGAAGAAATAGACAGTTTTATAGACAATAGTACCCAGAATAATACAATCAAAAGTAAAAATAGTGTGTGGAATCAGTTTATGAAATTTTGCGTTCAGCGCAAATATGTTTTATTAAATGATAAAACTGTTGCTGAACTATGTAATATCTTAAAAGATTGGGCTTAGAACATGAAAAAAGAAGACGGAAGCTACTACAAAGAGTATTCTTTAAAGTGTATGTGGAACTCAACTGCTAAGACGTTACAAGAAATATATCTTTAAACATTTAATATAAAGATAGATCCATTTCAAGGTATTGCATTTAAAAGTGCTCGCGATGCACGAAATGCAAAAAGACGGAAATTGCAGAAATTTTCAGAGAAAAGGAAACAAAGTTCTACAGCTCTAAGTTTAAAACATATACACGATATTATTGACAAATTGGATGAACAAACTCCAGACGGTCTCCAAAAGATTTTCTATTATTTGGCTACCGTGGAATTAGCTTGGCGCGGTGGGGAAGGCGCAACATGTTTAACATAATATTTTAAATCAGGTGTACCGGAGCAACAATTGATTAAAATAACTGGGCATTCTATTTCATCATTTATTCAACCATATTTACAGATGGATGACCAGCATCATCAAAGTGTTATTAACCAACTTCGAGAACATACAGAAAATCAAGCTTTCACTTCTGTGAATACTGATTTTAATCCGGTAGAAGAAAGTCAAGTTTCTACTGCCATGGGGTAATCATCGCCTTCCACTGCGACCCACATGATCTTAGGTGACTCGTGCCTAGATTATAATTCACAGTACAAGCCACACCTTTTGATAAATGCCACGGTGGATTTAGGTTAAACTTGTTTAAAGTCGGTAGGCTCTGTAGAATCGACAGTCCGATATTTGTTTGCAGACATATCCTTATGTGGTTACCTAGACTTTTTTATAGAGAAAATTACATTTACGCACGGGGAGTATGTAATGCAGCGGTTTGGTCTTCGTTGTCACGGTAGTGTGGGACTCTCCCTTTTTAATATATTTCTGTATAATCCTTGAGGTACATTTTTCAAAATGTTAGGTGGGCTGACTAGAAACTAACTAGTTTCTCTAGTCGGCCCTTCCAAGGGCTTGTCTATTTCTCTCCTCCTCTTCCTTTGCCTTGATTATTTCTTTTGCCAGTTTTTTTTATCATTTTCCAGTTTTCTTTATTCAATAAGATTAATTCCTCTTATGTCTTCTTCGCGTGGCGCAGCTTCTGTCGTCGCTTACGCTGCGTATCTTTTCTCTTTCCACTGCTGACAGTAGAAAATGGTGCGAGCTGGCGTATCGACACAATCACAATACAAACAAGTATCCGTTGCCGATTTACCAATCCCCTTCGTATATTCCATGTAGAAGCCATATCCCGTTAGGAACTTCGTCATATAATAATCAAGGTTCCTGTGCTGCCAATTCTACCATTTTATTACGTTTGGGATAATTCTCTTAGTCCACTTTGGTCCTTTGTGCTGAGCCACTCTCGTTGCCATTCTCGTAGACTAACCTCACGTTCTGTTTTCTTTTCCTCTCTCTACCATTTTCATTCTATATATCCCTTCTCGTTCTGTCTGTAAATAGATTGACATTGTGCCAGTGTTGTTTTTCTGTAAATACTGATATCTCTCAGTGCGGTCTTTCTCAACGTCTTTGGTGCTCCATACAGTAGAGTGGAGTGTATTACTCCGCTTAAGAGCTCCCGTTTCTTGCTCTCTGGTTCTCCAATGTTTCTCATTAATCTAAGCAAGGATCCCACTCTTGGCTCCGCTTTATTTACTGCCATTTCAGTATGTTTGCCGAAAATTCCAATGTCATCTAATACTATTCCCGGATACTTTAATTCCCTTTGGGGCTTGAGCAAAAATCGCGGCTTGTCTCTGTCTTTTTCCAGGGGCTTCTTAACGTATGGTCTTCCGTCCGGTCCGTTATTCGGTATCGCGCCAGTTCCGCTCTATGTTTCAGGTATTAACGGACTTTGCTCCTTACTAGTAGGGCCAGGTCATCTACGAACTCGATGGTCGTTTTCCCTTCGCCTAGGTCTATCCATGAGACCCCGTCTTAAGTATTTCATAGCGTGGTCTCAATACCGGCCCCCTGTTGGACTCCTGTCGTTACTCTTATCGGTTTTCTCTTCACCTGTATTTCCCTGTCATCTTGGTAGTTTTCCACAACATTTTCGAGATACGCCGGTACCCTCCTTCTTTTCAGCTCCTCCGTTATTAGGTTCCATGAAACCGTGTTGAAGGCGTTTCTGATATCTAGCGTTATCACTGTAAACCACTTTCCCCCTTCTGATATCTCTTTTCTTACCTCTTCAACGGCTTGCACCGTTGATCTTACTGGTCGGAACTCAAACTGATTCTCAGCCAGTTCTTCCCATCGGTTTATTTCCGTTTCCAATCTCCTTTTGACCAATCCTTCATGCACTGTACCCATTGAATTTAAGAAGCAGATAGGTCTGTAGGATGATGGGTGTCCTAGCGGTTTTTCCGGTTCCTTGATGATAACTAATTTTGCTTTGATTACCTAGACTAGTCCTGTAAGAAAGCTTAACGCTTTCCTACTCAATCCACGGATCTGAACAAAGACAATCATAAAAGGATTGGGATTAAAAGCCTTAGAATGGAGTACATGAGTGTTTCAGCCAGTATGAGATAATTCATTTGGTTAATTGGCTGAGTTAATACTCAAGATTCATTTCTCCTTTTAATGAACGCGTCGGCCTTTTTTTGCCCTCCACCTCACTGTCTCCCGGAACCCAGATCAAAGTAACTTTGTTCCGGCACCAAAAGGTAAACGATGTATTCCAATTAGGAACGTGCTGTTAAGGGTTTCTTACTCTCTTCAGCCACACTGGAGGAATCAGGAATTGGGTTTGAGAGGATCGGGTTGAAGGAATGGTGGTATGTATCTGAGAGGATGTTACTGGCCCAGCATTTGCCTATTGCTATGAGTAAACCTCTGAAAAATGGCAAACCGCAGAGCAAAATTAGGTGTACAGGGTAGGGAATTACGAAGAATTTACCGGTTTGAAGGAGTTGTTGTAATTGCCGGGGAATTGGCGTTGAATTGAGCGTTATTTTTAAAGAAATTGGAAGTCGGATAAAAGGGAATTAGATGTACAAATTTTGACCTGCGGTTTAGTGAAATATCATTCCGTAGCGTATAATTCTTTTTTCCTAAATGACAGGTTTAATTTAATTCAGACTCGTGCTTAGTTATTACAGGCATCACTCGTATATCTCTGAGGTGATGGTCTACATTCGTTGTATTCTTATAATAAACCCAATTACAACCTTAATTAAAACGTATCAAAATATACTCATTGGAGAAAGAAATAAAAGAGATAACAGAAATTCTTAAAACAATGAAATTACTAATAAAAACGTTTATAAAGCATTTCGTTAATAATCGCCTATGAAGCTCTTGAGTATAAATATTATTTTTGACTATTCCCATATTAAAAAGTCAATAGGGGTAAGATCAGGTTACATATATGGCTAGTTACGTGATATTACCCTTTCCTCTTCTAACGATATTAGTAAGGTAACTAAAAATATTTTCTTGAAGGCAGCCATTTTGTTAAAACCAGTATCTCCATTCCTTCATTATTTTGTAATGTCCTGTTGTAATGGATCATCTACATCATTAATATCAAACACCACTGAAAATAAAGTTGTGGAGTATTGCATGAGTCATACCGTCTATAAAATTAACTTAAAATATTCATTTTTGAAACAATTGTACAATGTGGACGCATTATAACAAATATTGCAGGCATCAGAACTAGAAATAGCGAAATATAAAATTGAGACCTCACTAGAGAGTATAAGAACAAGAATGAAAATTGAAGAAAATTTAATAAATAACGACGATTCTAAAATGTCAACTTTTGACATTTTTATGAAAGAGTTCAATAAAATAGCCGAACCTTCGTTTAGAGACAATTACTATAGTTTTATGGAGAAAGAGATTATCGAATTAAATAAAATTATCGAAATTAAACACAATCAGTTACAAGAATCATTTAAATTGAATAAAGTGTTAATTGGTAAACTTTTCAGTGCTGATAATGGATTGAAATTCCTTGAAGAGAGAGCACTTTCAGCTGTAAGATTAACTTTAGGGAAGAATCTATGCAAACCAATCCTTTTTTTTTAGTTTACCTACACATGAATCTATATATTATATACTGCGTAAAATTAATTAAGGATTGCCTTAAATCTTTAAATAATTGGCTTTGAATCAAAACTGACAAATCACTTTTTATAAATATATACAAGGTGGGGACATTAATTGGAACTAATTCACTAGAGCCTCAGGATAAAATATTTGAATAAAACGCAAAAACAAGACGATAGTTATATATTGAGAATATAATAGACTCTTTTATATATTATCTTTGATTAATAATCACTTTTACTTTATAAATAGGAGTAGAACCTTATTATTGTTGTTATTTCTCTTTAGTTACTTGACTATAGTTATTTGTCTCTAGCTATTCGTTATTTGTTATTTGAAGCCGTTAATTGAAGTAGCTTTAAGACAGATATCCATTTAAGTGTATTTTATACTTAATAAAATTTTTTAAAATAAAAATTCCATTTTGGAATTTATAACTGGCGCAGTCAGTAGGATACACGCGAGTCGTGAAACAGTTTAATCGAGTTCGCTGTTGCCGAGCCGAATATTAACTTTTCGTGACTTTGGAATTTTAATTCCTCAAGTGTGGTTCCTAAGGAAGAATTGGGAGGCTAGACTTTCCACGTAGAAGAATTGTCGATTGGACAGAATCGTCGATAGGACATCAGCCCATGGTGGGACATTCGAAACGACAATAAGAAGGCAATTGAAGAAAATAGTAAGTGCCAAATATCCTTTAATTTCCCTTTCCTTTAATACCTTTAAATTAAAGAAAGGTATTAAAAAGATTATACTATTATATAATTTTGAAACTATTTTATATTTTATTTTGATTATATTTTATGAGTGAATCAGAAATTGATACTTTGTTTGAGCAATTTGCAAATATATCGTTACAAGATAATAAATTAGATAGTGTAGGAAGTAATTTAATCATGACATCTCCAGTAGTTGAACGTAGACAAGTGAATTGGGACCTTTTTAAGTCCAAAATAGGTAACATAAAAACTTTTGATGGTGATAGTAATTCACTAGATAAATTTATAAATAGATGTGAAAGTTTAATTGAAACTTATAGAACATATAATGACCCAGAATTGGATGCACATATAATAGAATGTATCCAGGAAAAATTAGTAGGAAAAGCTGAGATAATGGTAGGAAACAGAATTGAAATTAATACTTGGATAGGTTTAAAAAATGCTTTGTTACAATGTTTATCCGATCGAAGAGATTTAGATTGCTTAGTGCAAGAATTGACGCGTAGTAAACCCCTAAAAGGTGAACATTTAATAAATTTTGCGAGTAGATTACAGTTGTTAAGAAGTAGTGTTATTCAGAGAATAAGTAATGATCCAAATTTAACCCCAATGGAAAAACAAATTCAAAGTAATCATTATGCTAAAACGGCTCTAAATACATTCGTTGCAGGATGTACGGGAACACTAAAAAATAATATGCATTTGAAAAAGCCAGAGTCGCTAGAAGAAGCTGTTGCTTATGTTTCTGAATTTGAAAATTTTGAAACCTTGTATAATAATAATTCATACGAAAGAAACATGTCAAAACAAAATTCAAATTTTTATAATAAACAAAACAATGGACATTTTCAAAATTTTCAAAGAAATAATAATAATTCCTATATGAATCGAAATGCTAATAATATGAATCCTAATTATGATTTTTATAAACCAAATTTTCATCAAAATAATCAAAGACCAAATTATTTTTCAAATAATTATCCCAGAAATAATTTTGAAAATTCCCATTACAGAAATCAAAATTATTATCAAAGAAATTTTAATCAAAATCCAGTGAATAATCAATACAAAACTAATTTTGATAATTTTCCCTGTCAACCTATAAATGTACAACCAATGTCACAATTTAATAAAAAATATTTTACTAATCAACAAGTTTTTGGACCATTAAGACAAAAAATGTTTTCAAACCAAATCAAATTCCAGAAAGCCAATTGTCTAAACCAGAACCGATGTCAACGACATCAAGAAACCCTTCTTTCCAATCAAAAAGACAATTTTATGATAACAGAAATTTCCAAAATTATAATTCAAGACCAAATTTTACCTTTGAAGAATTACATTCTAATTTTTGCAATGATACCAATTTAAATAAGCATGATTATAATCACACTAATTTTGAAAATCCTAATCAAATTAAATTTGAAAATGAATCAATTAAAAAAGGTGACTTTGAACAAAATTTTCAGGTACCAGCCTCATTGAAAACAAAAAGATAGTAGAATTCCATAATATTTCAAACAATGCATTGCCCTATATAGAAATACGCGAACCCAAGCTCAAACTGCTAATTGATACAGCATCTTGTAGGTCAATAATAAAACCTTCAGTAATAAAAAAATATTTTCCGCAAACAATTTACCATTCAGAACTTATCTTATCAACATGCATGGGACGTAGAAACATTCATTACCAAGCCTTAGTGCCAGCGTTTGCAGAGTTTAATTCTGATAATAAATACATAGACTTTATTGTTTACGATTTTTATACACCTTTTGATGGTATATTAGGTTTAAACGATTTGATAAACATGAACTTGATAATTAACTTGACTCAACAAAAGCTAATAGGTGATGATTTTGAAATTCCATTTAAATATAGTCCAGTCAAAGAAACAATACTTTCTTGTTGTGAAGTTATAAAAATAAATGAAACGGAAGAAAATAATTTAGGGACTAATACTTCTTTATTAAATAAAAATATATCGGAATCCAATAATTTTGAAACTAAATCTACAGAAGATATTTGTTTTGAAACAAACATGTATAAACTTTTTGAAATTGAAAATTGTGATAATAATTTACAAAAAGTCAACACTAATTTTGATAAAAATAATTTAGTAGTGGAGGATGCAACTCCAAATAAAGATCCTCCAAATAATGCAACTCCAAATAAAGTGGACGAACTGAATACTTCAGAAACCGATTCTTTAGATAAAAATATAAATGATATTGATGAAATAGTTCAATCTCTTAAGGATTCTCTGAATCAACTAGTCTTTCCTAAAATATGTCAAAAAATAGATATTATAGATAAGGATAAAATATTCGATATAGATCAACTATATAAATTAAATGTTATGCCAAATGATAAAGAGTTTTCTAAAATAAATCCGTATGTTCAAAAAGAATTTATATTATTAAATAAAAATATTGAAAATAGAATAAATACAAAACATAAATGCAAGAAAAAATTAAAGAAAGAATTTTTATTACCTAATAATAAAATTAGGACCAAAATGAAAAAACCAGGAACATATAAATGTAACAGAAAGAGAATAAAATTTAAATGTTTTTCAAACTTTAATAGAAAAAGAACAAAATTTAAAAACTACTACTAGTTAGTTTTAGAAATAAACCTAGTTTTATTTAAAACATATATTTTAAAATTTTATTTTATTAAAATAAAAAAATATATATATTCATATACTTTAAATTTTAATTTTATCGAAAATAAAAAATATGTATCAAATTATTCTATGGACGGATAGGATATTACTAAAAATTAATTAATTAAAAATTTTTGAAAAAATAACTACTTCTTTGAAAAACAAAAATTAAAAATAGAACATAATGAAGAATTTATAAAAGGCTTTAATAAATTTCAAAATATACTGATCTTTGAATTTTTCAAAAATCAAATATATTTTACTTTTTAGTGCAATGGCGTGAACTTCCATTTGAAATAAGTCCTTTATTTCAATATTGAGAAGGTCACATTGATAATATAAATCCCTTTGATTTAGACGATCACTTAATAATTTCTAATTATGTACAAGATCATAAACAAATTAGTAAACAAATGTATAACAAAATTAAACAACGTAATGAGGAAGTAAAAGAAAATTTAATAAACAAATTAAATGAACAGAGATCTGAACCAGATAACTATTCTAAACAAAAGTCATGTTTTGTCAAAACAAAATCGAGAAATAAAAAATTACCAAAATTTAAAAAAAAGGCAAATGTCATTATTATTATTAAAAACAGATAAGGGTACTTATCATAAAAGTATTGTTAGAAAACCAAAAAATAATTTAGAAAAATTGTTACAGGATATCGACGAAAATGAAATCCCTTTTGATAACGACGCTGTTCCAAGTACAAGTTCTACAAGTCATTTATATATACCAAATACATAGTATATTTCAATTTGACATTTTACATTACTTAGAAATCGATATAACATAGTTTAATTTATATTGATATAGGGTTAGTAGCTCACCTCCCAATATCTTATCATAGCTTATCACAAAATATGTTAACCAGAACAGAATATTTAATAATTACTGTTCAGAAAAAGATTAATAATTTAATTCCTCATGTAAGACATAGAAGAGCTCTAATAAATGCAATTGGAAAAATTAACAAATGGCTATTTGGAAATCTTGATTCTGATGACGAAGAAAGATACAATAATGCTATAAAAACATTGCAAGAAAATCAAAAAAAATATTATCAGTGAAACAAATCTTCAAATTTCGTTGTACAAAAGACTTGTTGATCATTATAATAAATCAATCACAATCTTAAGCAAAAATCAAGAAAAATTTAAAGTTGATATGGAAAAAATTCAAGCAGCTATTTATAACAGAATTAATACACTTGAAAGTTATATTAGTTTTCAAGCCATTATAT